CTGGCCACAAACCTACACAACCTCTCAATTTGCCAATTTTTTTTACTTTAAGTAAATGGAAGGAATATTTTGGTTCGGGCTTATATATTCTTAAATCTTGTCATCTAGTATTTTTAGTTAATGTCTTCCTACCTATTCCTCCACGGGTCATTCCTACTTCCATTATAGTCTCCAACCGCAGAAATTGCAGTTGTTATATTTTTTTATTATATTTTCAGGCCATATTTTAAAATCCATCTAGTAGCACTTGCTTTATATAATCATAAACTCCATGCTTATTTGGCTTTGAAAGTTTTCATTAATATTTATCGTCACATTTTAGCAATTCTGTTCTAAATCCTTCAACCATCAGGTCTAAGTCCTCTTATAATATACGTATATATATATAACTTCAATACATTTTTATGCGTCGATTGGATTTTTAAGATCTAAGTATTCTTAAACAGCGTCGATTTCAATATGACAAATATATGCACTTTTATTTAAGCTCTACTTGCGACTGATTCTCTTCTATGTCTGCTTACTCTTAATCTACCTTTGGTGGTAGATTTTGTCTGTGTATTTAACCACACTCTATTATAGAATGTAAGTCAGGCCCATAGTTTTATTTAATTAGTCAAATTTTTTTTTATTTCAATAATTAATACTATTATTGGCTTTTATAATTTAGTCAATTCAATCTTGTGAAACTTTGCTCATCTCTTAAGTTTCTTTACTTTTCGCCAATATCTTGCTTACTTTTACAACTTATTATCATAAGATATTTTCATCATTTAGTGACATTTTAGTTTGTTGAAATATTGCCTTTGTTTATATTTTTAATTCTTAGAATTGACCCTTAATATTATATAGATTCATCTTCTTTTTTTTCAAATTCAGCAAAGCTCATTTACCTCCTGTTATCTGTGAGGCCTCTTTTGTTGCTTACGATATCGCCCAGCTCTTGAGCACCAACAATAGCCATGTAATCGGGCTCTCTTTCGCTACTCACTTACTTCATGTCCATTCCAATTCTGTATTCCTTCTTCTCGCCTCTGGTGGCCTTGTTCGCCTTTTACATGACCTCGTTTACGAGCTGGACAAGGTGGATGGTGAGTTAGTGGCTGTGTTTCAGGCTGCTCTGGAATCTGAAGTTATTACATGTGACCTTAACTGCGTGCCTTTGGACCTGACGGCTGTGGCAAAAGTGAGATTTACTTAGGGTTTCCTTTGGAAGTTTTTATTTGTTTATTGTACACTTAGATCTTCTAAAAGAAATCTAGGATACTTATTTATTGGGTTTCATTTACCGGTATCATTGCCTATGTCTCATGTACAAGGCGAAGTGACCAATATGATTATCTTGTTTTTTATTGAGCTCATTTTCACTTCATTCAAATGCGTATGATGAGAAGATTCAGAAGAAAATGGCTGTAGATTTCCCTTAGTCTTTTTTATTTTCGCTTTACTGTGAAATTTAGGTTTACACAGTTCTTGCCGCATCCTCCTTCGGTTCCCACTAAATGCACACTGTCCATAGTATGACATTCCTAATTATAGCTAGATCTCATTCTTGCAAAAAACTTTAATCTAAGATTATCCGGCTCCTCCTTAGATGCCATATATAATCATAAAGATTAAATTATCGTGAGATAGAAGGATTTAGTTTGTTTACTTATCTATCTGTGCTAACTAACCTTGTGTGCTTGTATGTGAGAGTGCTTAAACCTAATGCAAGTACTTTCTATTATAAATGATCAAAGCTTAATGGCATTTTTATTAAAACCAATCCAAATCATCACTTTATTTCGTTTAGGTAATGCCGAACAGCCATTTGGATGAGTATGATATTTTTGGCTGAAATTTCATGTAAAAGATGCGGCTACCATAGTCAGAAAACTTAATTAACACAACTTTTTTATAGGGGCTCAACATATTTTCTCTCTAGGTATGTCAATTAAATACAAGCATAATCAGCAAATAGATGAGTTTGATGTAAATCCTTCACGTCCTATTTATGCTGTGCCCAGCCTCGTAAAGCCCTGATGAATTGGTAGACCCTACCACACGACTGGCAGCATGGTCACTATTTTGTAGCCGTCTGATTTGGATGAAGAATGATAATTCCTTAAAAGCAGGCATAATTGAAGGAAGCGTTTCTTTTTACACAGTCTTGATTCCAAATTTTCTCATCAGTCTGCATATCCTTTTATAGAAAAGGCAGGAAGGCACACTTATAAAATGGTATAAGATATCAGACTATATATTGTTCCAAATATGCTCCTTCCTTAGTAAACAGATACTATTTTCAATCAAGCCTTTATGATAATTCTTATCAAGCAATAATTTGTCAAGAGCCAAAGCCTCTACGTTTTCTAAGGCTGTATGAGGACTAGTATTAGAATTTTCCACAATGGAGCGAGTAGACCTGATAATACCATTAAATTTCACTTAGCCTTGTCTCCCTCATAAGTTTTCTTATCCAGAGTGAACTGTAATTTCGGACTTATTTGGGTCTCAGTATCCACAGGGGGATCCAAAACCAGGCCGTGAGCAGTGGCAACATATTACTACTACACCACACAATCACGGGTGCTTTCGGATCAAAGGACAGATTTAAAGTTTAGGACATACCAGACCTCTTCTACATCATATTTATATTAGAATCATCAATTAAGTTAGCTTTTTATTTATCATTATCGACAGTATCACTTAGTGAGTATGACTTGATATTATTACTGGATCATTAATATCGTTTTGAGTTACTCTAGTTCGTCTCCAAAACTGCAGTTAATTCAGACTTAAAAAATCTCTTGGAAGGCTAGGTTAAGTTTACTCTATTATCTTCATGAGGCCTACTCGTTTCAGTGTGAGAAATCCAGCCATCACTTCTTACACCACGTTAATTGATCGAAGGTGAATTAAGTTCTTATTCAAGACATGTTCACTTCAAAATGTGTAACTCAGTCTACCTTGGTTGGAAATAACAATTCGCCCCAACTATAGTATCTTTATGAATGTGATATGAGAGTCGTCTGAGTGGCCTTGACATTTTCATTTTCATTGTTATTCACCGTTACCCGTGGCTTAGCTGTAACATGTCGCTGTCCTCATAATTCAATTTATAATCCAGTTTTGGGTGCTAATGAGGCGAGGTTCAAGC